GTGATAAGAGGCTGAGTGGCTCATTTTGCAGTGGTTCTCTTTGATTTCAGGCTGGAAGTTGTCAGTTTACACACAGCCGTTTAGGAGATTCGGGCCACGTCTGTTTCCCCCAGCTGTGTTATGAGTGCGCACTTCAGATTAAAGCTGGGTGCCTCCCCCAGCTGCCTCACATCAAGGACACAACAGGAAATTTTTTTTGTCTGCCTAAGCTTTTCTTCTGAGGAGGGAGGAATTGCCTGTACCAAATACAGTTAGGTTGATACCCCTGTGAAGTTATGTGTCAGTACCGGCTGAAGTAATAAATTCTAAGCCAACCAGAGTGGCTACTGTAGAGCTTAGTACTTAGAGAGGTGTTGCAGGGTTAAAGGAGCATGCTGAAGGTTTGGTGGGTTGCTGGTAGTCACTGAACCTGCTTAATGTCCATTGATTTAGGCTTTAAGCCCCTATTCTGCTCATTTGTTGCTTATCTGTATTGTTCTGTACCTGTAATAAATCCGGCTTGTGCTAAGGATGCTGTTCACAGCTCTGCTGGGAGTAATACCTCAGTTCACTTGAGTGAGGCAAGGCTGGGTTGAGGCAGAAATCTTTTGGGAACAGAACAGTCCAGAATGAGGCTTTGTGAAACTTCTTTCTGTGTTGAGGAGCCTGTGGGCAGCTCCAGGCCAGTGAGGTGATTTACCTGCCTCTGCCTGCTCAGGAGAGGCACCTGCTCACTACCATTGTTCCCATCTGGATGGGGCTGGGTGTGAATTTTTTTGTTTGTTTTAGTTAATCTTACCTCGTGGTGTTTGTACTGATTCCTGCTTAATGTTTCCTTTGGATAAGGACTGGGACTTCTCATCTTCTGGTGTCTTTTCTGGGCTGAAGATTGACCCTGATACCCTAGTAAAGAAGCTTGACTTGGACTCCAGAAGCATCATTTCCTCCAGAACAGGTTTGTGGTTGTGTTGTGAGTGCCACATTCAGTTGTGAGCAATGATGCTGGGGACTGTATTTATTTGCAGTGGCTTTCAGAACAAGCCCAGGTGAATACAACCCAAACATCACTTCCCATGTTCCTGTGAGGGCTTTAAAAGAGGTTTGTTTCTGTTTGGGGTTGTGGAGGCAGAAAGGTGCAATGTGCTTAGTGATCCCTAGGTAGGGAACTAGCTTCAGGCTAGCTGTGGGATGTCCTCATGCAGCCAAAGGCTCCCAGGGGCTGAGAGGATAGCAGAGCCCAGGCTGTGACCTGAACTCTGGGCTTCCTTTGGGGCTGCTTTTGCCTCACCAGCAACTGCCATTTGTAACCCAGTATTTTGTCAGCAAGTTGCTCATTGTGTCTCAACAGTGCTTTACCCACAGCAGCCTGACTGCAGCAAGTCTTCTCCTCCTGTCCTTTGCTATTGCAGGGTCCTTGGCTCAAGGACTCCTGGGCAGGAGAGTCCACCTCACAGGGAGTATGGGATGTGGGAGTGGGAACAGGGAGGGGATGGTAGAGGCTTTTGATTTCTAGTCCCACAACAAGGAAATGCTCCCTCTGACTGCTCACTGGCAGACAGAGCAGGTTTCAGATCTCTAGATGGCACAGCAAGCTGTTCTGATGCAGATGCGTGTGACTCCCGATTATCTTGTTTGCAAACTTAAATGCATTTCTTCTCTCTGTGCAGATTAATAACTAAAGTGACTTTGTTTTCCTGTCCAGGGCTACAAGCAAACCCAATAACCACCCCAGGGCTAGTGCTTATTTGAGCAGCGGTCAGCTGCTGACCGAGCGAGGGACTGGGCAGGTTGTGTGAGGACACGTTTGCCTACTCTCTGCACAGAAACCTTGGTGAAACATACTGTTTTCAAAACACTGAGCTCATTGTTGGTTACTCTCCTGGGAAAAGGACATGCATGCATCTGTGTGTGTGCGTGCACGCTGCCATCTCTTTAATTAAATCAGACAGCATGTTGCTGAGGGTTGGCAGACTGCAATCCCAGCCTTTCGTTGCAGGCTACAGCTGTACATGTCTGGGTTATAAATAGAGCTGTGCTGCTGGTCCCTGTGCAGTGCTGATGATGCAGATGTGCAGTGCCTGGCTGCTTCTCTCGAGGCTACGTGCTGGCTTCCTGCAGACAGTGATGCTGACCCCAATGCTTTGCGCTCCCACGTGCTTTCCAGATCATCAGCTAAAAATAACTGCTCATTTGGGGGCTCAAAACTGCAATTCAACGAGGCAAAAAGTGATTTGATTGGTTTTTTTTACATTCTCCCAAGCTGTTGTGCCCTTCCTTCTTGTCTCACTCTGGAGCCATGTGGAGGCTTTTTCATTATGGAAATCAATTAAATTTTTTGTGTTTATTCGGTGAACTGTAACTAGGCTCTGCATACAATGACAGACACCCTGCAGTTAGAAAAGAGATTTGTGCTTTGTCTCTGGCATCTCTGGTCAGCTCAGGGAAATTCAACTTGACTCCAACCTTCCCTCCCCCCCTTCCTCCTCTTCCCCCTCAGCTTAGTGCACAGGGCAGGAGGGTAGGATTCTCCTACACACTGCTATTTTAAGATTTAATAACAAGACAAAAACGTGCTTCTCTCCCACTTGCTTTTCAAGCTCTGAGAAGGTCAAGTTGGCAGACTGTGGGAGGGCTCACTCTATCTTCTGTGCCTTTCACAGCTAGAGAAGATTTTTTTTCTGCTGAGGATGCTATGTGGCAGTTGAGAAAGCAGGTGTATTTGTTCTCCCTGTGTGTGTGTGCCTCACATTACCCAAGATTGCTGGTATCTCTGTGTTTTATGTTTCAATCTGGTCTTGTGCTGTGACACTTCAGAGACAGCCAGGAGGACTTCATTGTGGGCCTGAAGAAGCCCATGGGGCATGACTGAAACAAGGGAGTTTGGACCTGACAGGAAACACACTGCTGGGTTAGAAAGCCCTGCTGGCAGCTGCTGAGTTGGCTCTATTACCTCTTTGTTAGCTCCTGCATCCCTCTGCTTTTGGAGATGTAGTTACCAGAAAGCCAGCAGCTCACTCCATGTGTGTGCTTCCACAGCATTGCAGCTTGGTTGAAGGTGTCTGCCTGAGATGTTTTTGGACAAAATATTTGAGCTTCATGCATTCCTCCCCTTGTGCTTCCACACTGTGGTTTTGTGCTTGATCTGGGGGACCCAAGATGTGCTTTGACAGAGTCCAAGCACCAAAGCTGTGTAAGCCATAATGTTCTCTGCTAATTCTGAAGCTGTCAGATGTGGAGCTGGCCCAGAAGGATATGTGGGGCTGAGAGATTGCAGTAAGTAAGTAAGGAAGTAAGTGCTTCATTTTAGAGGTCTGATCTCTTTCAGTTAAAATCTAGTTTGAGCAAGAGCTTGGAGTTGGGTTAGATTTTTAGAAGATGTCAGCTTGGAGCTCAACAGTGGTCCAAAAGCAAATCGGCTGTTGGGAAGTAGAAGGAAAGGAGTACAATGTGGAAAGCATTGTCATGCTCTGTAAATAAATCCGTGGTACATGGAGCTATTTGATGTCGTGTAGCATTACAGGGGCTACCTAAACAATAGCAGAGCGTAGTTACTTCCATGGGATGACAGGCTTCATCTAGAAGACCTGCTTTGATATGCCAGAGCCAAAGGCATGCAAACCTGTAGGAAACGAAGCCGCCGTTGTGGTGGCCAACAAGAGAAGACACCTTTCTCTCCACATTTTTGTCCTCTTAGTTTTCCTTAATTTCTAATCGATCAGTTTTTGCTTCTCTTTTGGCTGTGGTTATTCTGAGGGAACAGGGAAAAGGACAGTGTGTAAGTTGGAAAGTTCGGCATCTCCGGCAGAGTTAGCAAAGCATCTCAGTTAATGTGAGTGGTTGTGTGTTACGGGGCTGAAAGAAGATGGAAGGAGTCCCCTTGTTCTGGGAGGCTAAACTGATGGTGTTGGTTCTTGCCAGCTGAAGGCCTTGTTTTGCTGAGGATTTTGTCAGCAAGTTGCTCATTGTGTCTCAACAGTGCTTTACCCACAGCAGCCTGACTGCAGCAAGTCTTCTCCTCCTGTCCTTTGCTATTGCAGGGTCCTTGGCTCAAGGACTCCTGGGCAGGAGAGTCCACCTCACAGGGAGTATGGGATGTGGGAGTGGGAACAGGGAGGAGATGGTAGAGGCAGGGTGCCTTGTGGAGCAATCTGCTCCCCTTGTGGCAATGGCCTGTTGCTTCCCTGATGTACAAGGCTGATTCAGTGTGCTTGTGATCGGAGCAGGGTTCCAGCTGAGGCTGTTCTGCATTCAGTAATTCTTGTGGCATGAGAAGGAGAGGGTGGAATTGTAATAAAAAATGTCACCAAAATGGAATTCATTCTAGGTGAGCCTTGCATTGTGTGATATAAAAAGCCAGTGGTCTAAAACGGAAGATATTTTAATACAGTGAGTTCTGAGCTGTGTCATGCTGTCAAGCAGACCTGCTTCAACTACTTTCCCCTGCTCTGCTTTTTGTCTTTAATCACTAGCTCACCTTAACACCAGATTCCAGATGATTTCCACACACATGCAGGTAACAAAAGCCAGTGCCATCCCTGTGAACACTGGTGTTCAGTCCATGAGTTAATTGCTCAGTGATTGCATCCTGCCAGTGTAGTTTACTTAGCCACTGACGTAAGGCTTTGCTGTAGTGTAATCCATGCAGGGTCCTCTGTTACTCATGTGAGTGAATAAATCTCATCTGGGTGAGCTTCTATAGCATGGGAATTAAATGTTTCCTAGTAAGTCAGAATTAATGGCCTGTCATACTGGGGGTTGCTGCTGCTGTTTTTTTTGTTTTCTTTAGCTTTCCTTCGTCAGTGTTCGCTCCTCAAAGCAAGGGCCTGTTCAAGCACAGCTGTGGCAAGTGCTTGGGAATGTCTTTTTTTGGAGTGGATGATGAACCAGTTGTGGAATGATATGAACAACTGGACTGGCAGCTTCCTGCTTTACTTTTAGCTACTCCAGAAAGGAACCATGACGAGCTGTGTTGTTGAGAAAGCAAAAGTGCAACAGCAAGTTCACAATTGCTTGCAAAACCTTAGCTTGCCATTCTGATTTCTGAGGTTGTGGCCAGAGTACTTTTTTCTGCAGATTCTCTAGCTCCTTCTGTGCCAGTGGTGAGCCAGGAAAATGTGAAATGTGTTTAGTCCTGGACCAGTTAAGGATCCTTAAAGAGACCATAAGGTCTACCAGGGGGTAGGTTTAGATTGGACATAAAGACTTTTTTACCATGAGGGTCGTGAGGCATTGGCACAGGTTGCCCAGAGAAACTGTGGCTGCCCTGTTCCTGGAAGTGTTCAAGGCCAGGTTGGATAGAGCCCTGAGCAACCTCATCTACTGGATTGGACTAGATGCTCTTTGAAGGTTTTTTCCAACCCAGACCACTCTGTGAGGCTATACTGAGGTGAGGGGCATGGAGTGATGTAGGATATTAGCCTGAGCAGGGGGTGTGCTCCAAAGACCTGGAGTGTGGGATCCTCTGTCAGTGGCACAGAGGGGAGTGGAGTGAAATTACTAAACATTTGACAAAGAAGGAATTCCCTTCTGAAGAAATGTGGAAGTAGGGGAGCATAAAGTCAGACCAAGCAGGAGCCTGACAGCAGGGAATTTCAGGGGTCTGCAGGCTGTGTACAACCTTGCTTTCCACCTTTCTGAGAGACTCTGTGAGTTCCTTTTGTTACCAAGGCTCCTTCTGCAGAGTCACTGACTGTGTCCTTCTGGTTTGCACCTCAGCTTCTGCTCTGGAGTTCCAGATTTGCTGTGTCTGTCGTGTTATCTGCTTCCTTCTGCTTGGGCTCTGCACCCACTTACTCAATTCTGTTCTCCTTTTGTAGCCTCAAATGAGAAGCAGAAAAGCTGTGGTTTGATGGCATTGGTATCCTGCTTTAACTTCATGTGATCTAATTTGCTTTCCTGTTTTGTTTTTGCTTTCAATGGGTGATTTACCGGAATCCCGGTCAGACCTCTCCTCCG